GAGAGAGAGAGAGAGAGAGAGAGAGAGAGAGAGAGAGAGAGAGAGAGAGAGAGAGTGAGTGTTACGGGGCAAGAGCCTACGGTTGGGGGACCGTGGCTGCTACAATGCAGGGGACAGTTTTCAGCTAAGTTGTGGTGTTTTCGGTCTTTGCAAACAAGAACCCCTCACATGCTCAGCCTAAGCCAGTGATGGCGAACCTTTTAGAGACTGAGTGCCCAAAAACCGCCCCCACCCTGCCCTGCACGCTTCGCCCCCGCCCCACACCTGCCCCATCCCCACCCTGCCCACTGCTTCCACGGCCCACTGTAGATTGCCCAGGCGGCTCAGCAGCGCCATGGTAGCCACGCCCACCACCCCACGCCCCGCAGCATCAACTGCACGCCCCGGGGTGCAAGGGCGGAGTCTTGTCCCTGCTGTCCAGCTGCCATGTCCTTGGCTGCGCTGCTCCTCGGGGGCGACTCTCCTCTGGGGGGGCTGCCGGTGAGAAGGGAACCGCAGGAGGAGGTGGGGCCGGGGCGACGGCGCACGTGCCCACAGAGAGGGCTCCGTGTGCCCCGCCTCTGGTACCCGTGCCATAGGTTCGCCACCACGGGCCTACGCCTACCCAAGCTGAAAGACGGTAACGTAGTTGTAACTTACAGGCTTCTTGCAAGAATTTCTCTCTGATGCTGTCTGAAGTACAGTTTTTACACGTTTTGATTGCAACTGCCATGGCAGGGTTTTCCTGCAAGACAGAAAGCCCACGTTATGCAAATGAAAGGAATCACACAGAGATAGACATTGATTCTGAAGTCTCTCTTTTAAAAAAAAAAAAAAAAAAAAGTGTTTCACAAATTTTGCAAAAAAAAAAAAAGTGTCAATTTTGCTAAAATTAGCATTTTCTCACGAACCAGGCAGCTGAATATGACAAAGGGCTGCCACTTTATACGTTTCATATATGAAATATAGGAGCGAGGTTGGGGATGGTTTCTTCCCTTACTTAATGCCTACAACAGAGCAATCTAAAATTCTGTGTAAAAAAAAACAAAAACTAAAATAAACAAACCTAACCGAACTGTTAATGTTTAACTTTTAACTAATTTAATATTGTGGAAGGGGCTTTAACAAAATTTTCTTTTCAATTTTATATTAGATAGATTCAAATGTGTTTATTTTTTTTAAAGACTACTTGCATAATGCTAACGCTCATTTCTTCAAAAGTATAAAAAGACATTCATACTAAAACTCTACTGGCCAATTTCAAGTTTCTAAGCATGTGCTAAAGTTTGACTGTAAGAAGGGGTAGAATTCTCATTATTATTCTATGAAAACACGGTGTTCAACTTCATCTTAAATTAGACCAGTTTGTTTCGGATTACACGGAAAAAGATACTCCAAAAGTTTCCGTTATCGGTTGTGCATTATACACCAACTTATTTTTCTGGTAATTTTAATCTGCTGGTGGGCAACCTGTTTAGTTGAGCTGCATGGCCAGCCTCGTATAACACCATCTTTTCAAAAAAGCAAAGTAGGTGCAGGTGACACTAAGGCAGGGTTAGACAACCTTGGCTCTTTTATGACCGGTGGACTTCAACTCCCAGAATTCCTGAGCCAGCATGGCTCAGCATGGAAACCTCTCCATTCCCCTCAGCATGGCTGGCTCAGGAATTCTGGGAGTTGAAGTCCACCAGTCATAAAAGAGCCAACGTTGCCTACCCCTGATCTAGGTCTGTCTGTCTGTCTGTCTGTCTGTCTGTCTGTCTGTCTGTCTATCTATCTATCTATCTATCTATCATCTAGGTCAGGGGTAGGCCACCTTGGCCCTTTTATGACTCGTGGACTTCAACTCCCAGAATTCCTCAGCCAGTACGGCTCAACATGGAAACCTCTCCCTTTCCCCTCAGCATGGCTGGCTCAGGAATTCTGGGAGTTGAAGTCCACAAGTCATAAAAGAGCCAAGGTTGCCTACCCCTGGACTAAGGTATTTGCAGGATTTAATGAAACGCAAGCCGTATCTCTTCTAAAATTCCAGAAACCATCTGCAAATGTAAAGATAAATGAACATCTTACTGCTTGCTCTCTAAGCCAAACATTTTTAGAGTACTGTACTAAAATAAATTTATGTTCCTTCGAAGACCCCGTTCTTTTATATTGGGATTTTGTTTAATCTTTTCAGCAGAGTTACGTGGAAGGTGCCGTTTTCTGGTGGCTGTAGTCTTCTCTTGAGGTTACGTCTAAAGGTTGGGCCAAGGGAAGAAACCTTTCTGAACATCTTTTTCATCTTCCTCAAGCTTTTTCGACCCCCAGATTGTCCCCCAAAAAAGGTAAAAGTATTCTTCTCTGGTCGAGTGGCAGAGTTTCATAAAGAACTTTATTTTTTTTTTTGACCTAAAGCTCTGTTGAAAGAAAAGTCTTCATCATGGTCCAGTCCAAGCCGGGGATAAACGACATGGCGACTGCTTTAGAAAGAAGGTTGCAGTTTATTGAAGAGGAGAGCCAGACAGGAAGATGGTTCTGGCAGGAAAGAGGAGAGAAAAAGGGCTGAGCACATGTGGGGAGTGGGTTTTTATACCCTCTGGAGCCTTTTGTTTGGAGGTTATTTCCTGTTCCTGTTTGAGGCTTTGTACTTCCTGTGTCATGTATTTTGACCTGTATCCCTTTTGGCATCTGTGAGTTAATCCTATTATGTCCCAAAGGTCGTATCCTGCTTCCCTGGTGCTGGGGCTAATGACTCTTGGGAGTTTGGATGGGGTATGCAGATTTTAGGTGTCTTTGTCTTCTTAAGCTTCTAGCTGGGGCCTCCTACATCTGCATTTGTACAGAGCTTGGGGGAGGGAGAGGTGGGGCTATTAAGCAGACTGGGCATGTTTTTCTGGTTCTTCAAGATCCTTGGAGGAAATCTATTTTTCTGCCCTTTTAATATTTCCTTCTCTGGGAAGCTGACTTCCCACAGCTCCAAGATTTCAAACATCTATTGAAAGAAGCTATTAAA